TAAAAAAAAAAAAAAAAAAGCTAAGAAATGGCAAGAGATTTGTACAGAAGAGCAGCCTAAATCATGACTCCATCCTTCAGTTAAATCTTTCTGCAAAAAGCAAGGACAGTGATGTGAAATTCCTTACATCCAGACCTTTATGACTCTTTATCTCTGGAAAGGCCCAAGCACAATGGTTCTTAAAGAGGCCTCCAAGGAAAAGGAAGTTGATATCACTGATGATCTTGTCCTCAGATACCCATCTGTCTCTCAGAGGGGTTTCTGAGCACCCCAGAGAGACCCAGTATTTTCATATATGACCTATGTACTGGACATGGCCTTTTCTGTGTTCATTATAGTTTGAATCTGAAATGTCCCCTGTCTTAAAAATCATTCTCTTCATTGCTGGGACAAAACATCTGACAGGCAAAATTTAAAGGAAGGGGGGTTTATTTTGGCTCGCAGCTCAGAAGTTTCAATCTGTGTTTGGCAAGCTTAAAAAACCAAAATGGCAAGGCAGAAAGGTCTGGGAGGAAGAAAGCAGCTCACATCACAGGGCCAGGAAGCAGAGGGAGAAAGGAGGAGCCAGGAAGGGTGATTCACACTTCCAAGTCACTCCCCCAGCAACCTGCCTCTTCTTACCAGGCCCCCCTTCCTGACTGCACTGATAGCTGCATAAAGTACCCCATGATCCAATTACCTTCCAAAAGTGCCACCTCTGATTGCATGAGTCTTTGGGGGACATTCTAGATCTAAACCATAACACAATTGCAATCTTTCACTCCATATTAATTGGTGAGCATCTCTCAAACAGTGCATGTCCAACGTGTTGGTCCTTGCTCTGCTTGTCAGTCTGGCACCCCGAGGAGCTCTGCTCTGCCTCCTTCTGATGCTAGCATCTCTCTATGATCTGGAACAGGCCACCCCTTTCCTCATACGGTAAGAGACTTGTGCTTTTCTTCATTCATGGCTGCAAATCACAGTGTCTAGTTTCTCCATTTCCTTTCACCTATGTTTTCAACTAGAAAGAGGGACCTGTAGCCACCTGGACATCTTGACAGCAAGCATGACAGATGCTTTGGGGTTTTCCTGTAAACTTCACACATCATTTTTACATCCCAAGAAGTCCTTCAGCTGCCTGATCCTGATTGTGCAGCGAGTCTCCTCGAAGAGTAATTTGCACACTTGCCCCTGATGTAATCTGCTCTCTGGGGCAGATGTCATATTTTACCATGGGTCATTTTTTCAGTCATTTAAATAGAAAACATAACAATATTTCCCAGTAAGTCTATTTGATTTCCTATCTTTCTTCTGTGGAGGTTGGGTAACAGACTTAGTTTACTAGGTAGGTAAATATGCTTCTGCTTCTGCTCCTGCTACTTATTTCCTGATTTGTAGCTCCTTTTCCAGTAATAAAAAGAATGGTCACGAAGAGACACCACCTTCCTCACAGAGATGTTGCATGGATTAAATATGATCATGAACATCAAAGTACTTTACCAACTGCAAATCTAAGAGGTTATTTTTCCCGTGGTGAAAACAAATATAGGCTGCACATTTTCTCTGCAGAATTATAGAAGTTTGGAGTTTTCATTAAAGGCAAATTTACCAATATTTATTGAACCTCTTTTGTTTGCATGCATTTGCTAAGCCCTTATATGTGCATCTTCTTGTTTTATCTGCATAGTAAGGCTGTGTAATAACTAGTATTGAAACCAGTTTCACAGGTTAAAAAACAAAGATCCAACAAGATTAAGTAACCTGCCCAGTATCACACAGCCAGCAAGTGTCAACGTCTGCTCTTGAATGATAGAGCAACTCTTCTCCACAAAATCCATAAAGGTCACAGTGTTACCATCTTACGGGGTGGTGCTTGTCTTCGTTGTCCAAAGCAGGTGGTGGCTGCATGATCTAGGCAGGAAAAAGAAAGAAGGAAAGAAGAGACCAAAGCTTAAGGAAAGCTCACGGAAGAGTCTGTTTGATGCTCACCGACATTTCCCTGGCCAGATTTGCAGGAGCATTTCAACACAGGCAACTGAAGACCATGTGAGGGCCAGTGCTCAAAGCACCAGTACATCTAAGGGAAAGGAGCAGAACACAGTGACGGAACCATACAGCTGTGGGCATGAGAGGGCACGGGGTGGGGGGAATCAGAACCTACAAAGAACTGGAGTTTTGGATGGAATTTTGGATGAAGGGAGAGCTGTGGCACTTGGTAGAGAAAAGCCATCTTGGAGCTCATCTTCTCTTGCAGCAAAAAAAAAAACAGGAAAGAGGAAGGCTAGCAAGACCAGGATTTTAGGCAGTAATGCATCCACTCAGCCAAAAGCCACAAACAAACCAGCCCAGCCCCACCTGTGCCAGCAGAGGCTACATGAGAAGCCTAGACATCTGCCCGTGGATGGCTGAAACTAGGCACCCCCAAACCCCATCCCCGCAACCAGCGTGGTGTCAGAGAAAGCTGCAAAGGGGGCCAGGATTTTCATCCCCTCCAAGAGGGGCCAAATAGCCTCTAGGCTCCCCACAGTGTTGATGCGGGACACAGGGAATTGGACTTCTGCCTTCCTGCTGGGGCAGCTGTTATGAACTGTGCCCCCTAAAAATTCATACATTGGAATCCCAACACACTCTACCTCAGATTATATTTGGAGATTGGATCTCTTAAGGAGGGGATTAAGGGAAAACAAAGAACACGACGTTGGGCCTTAGTCTAACACAGGCCCACAGGAGAGGATTAAGTGATAGCACAACAAAGAATATCATCTTTATAAAAAGAATACAGAAAAGTCACTAAACAGTAGCAACATCTCACAGTAAGTAGCAAAATCAAATCCTACGGATGGGGCATGAGCTGATTTCCGTAGTTACCACATTCATAATGTCCAGTTTTCAACAGCAACCATAAAAGGGCATGTAAACAAATAAGAAAAGAGTAAAAATTTTGCTCTTGGACATTACAATCCAATTTAATACAGCCAGTATGAAACTAGCATGGAATGCCTTTAAAACAACAAAAATTAGAACTACCCTATACGGTCCAGCAATCCTGCTACTTGGTATGGATACAAAGAAAATGAAATCATTCTATCAAAGCAATACTTACATACCCATCAAAGGCTCAGGAGCTTGTGTGACCTGACACCAACTTCCCATTAAAGCACACAAGTGAATGGGGAGTTCATCACAAGTTGAGTCCTTAGGGGTGGCCTTGGAGGGTCACCTGCTGTCCCATTTTCCTCCAGCCCTAAAGTCCCTAAATAAATAAAAGTTTCCTTGTTATAACAAACCCACTAAAACTGCAGTATTGGCCCAGTAAAACATTAAAGATGTGTGACGAGAACACAGTATTTATCCTAGGGAATGAAGCAGTAGGCAATGCCATGTTCGTTGAAATTTTAACTTCTAGAATCTGTGACATCTAGGTCTATTTAACTGGAGACCAAATTGTCACTTTTCATACTCTCCTCTCAAAACATTTTTACACTTGCACTCCCATGCACTGGAAGAAATAACCAGGGCGATGGCTCTGACATTTTCTATTACTCTCCTTTCAGCAGATATTATGTGTCTCGGCGGAAACCAACCGCACAGCTGGCTAGGAAGGCAAAGCCCACACACCGAAATGGACACCTTGGCTCCTTTTTCACCACAATCTTCGGGATCCATAGGAAAGCAGAAGTCTTTAGCAGAGAAGATGCAAAGAAGATTTTCAAAGAAATAAAAAAGAATTCACTGCACCTTGAAATTTTTCATTACTTTTTTAATGCCAGCTTCCAAGCTTGGGAGAATAACAGAATACATGGGGGGCTCCATGCTGCCTCCTTTCCAATAATGTTTCCCTGGACTCTGAGTGTAGAAACCACCCAAATAATTTGGTGAAGGTACTGAAATTGTCTATCAAGTATTCACTGAGACCACACTGTTATAAAGGGAACAGGGATCGCTGCTGGGTATAGGTTAATGATACAGGAAGATTGCATTCCCATGTACTGTATTCATAGCCTCTTTCTATAATCATCTGACTCAGATATAAACCATCTTGTTTCTGGGCATGTCGTCAGTCAGGATAGAAAAGGAAAAGCTGAATCCTCTCCCCACAAATTCCATATCCATATGAATAAAACACGTTGTTTTTAAGAACAGAAATAAGTAGGAGATCATCATAGCTAACAGCAGAGTTCTTCGTACACACCAACCACTATTTTGTGTATTTAACGTCTCTTCATTCATTCCGTCTTCACCATAGCTCTGTGAGTAAGATACTATTTTTATCCCCATTTTACAAATGAGAAAACAGAAAAGGACCAAGGAGTTGGCCATGAGTACAGACAAAATATTCAACCCCAGCAAATTCATAGATTTAATGTAGCACCAGGTAATGCTGATGGCTACATTATTGTCCTTAACAAATCATCTTGACATTCATTTAGAAGATACACTATACAGTTTTAAGATAATGACCACTGTAGTCCTGTCACACTACATTTTCAAACATATTTACTTGCCAGTCATTATCAAACTCCCGTGCCAACTGGGTTAAAAACAGACACCTAACTGATGAGGTAGAACAGAAATTCTACACATCATGCTATGGTTTATTGCTCCCCTAAAATTGACATGTTGCAAGTTCACCCATGGAGAGGCAGTTAGGTCAAAGGGGCAGAGCCCCTGGGAATGAGGTTAGTGCCCTTATAAAGGGGACCCCAGATGGTTCACTCAGCCTCCTCCCACCAGATGAGGACATGATGAGAAATCAGCAGTGTGTGACCCATATGTGTCTCCAGCTGTGCTGGCACCCTGAACTCAGACCTGCAGCCTCCAGAACTCCAAGAAATGCATTCCATATTGTTAATAAGCTGCCCAGTCTACAGTATTTGTGACAGCAGCTTGAGCTGCATAAGACAAATGGACTGTAGCAGACATCCCTGCCCAGTACCAGTGGGCTATGTATGAGGGGCACGTGCTTCTTGCCTCCCTTAATCCAGCTATAGTGGTTTATATCAGGAGTCAGACTAAAGCCTTCCTTACTTGACTCAAGACCGGCATGTCAGGTAGCAGAGCTGGGCTAGGATTGCTCCTTTGCTAGTGGCTGTCACCGAGGCCTAAGTCCTGGTCTGTGAAGAAGCAGGGCTCTGCTGAGTTACGTGCAGCTGAGGTCAGCATGACCCCAGTTCAAATCCTTTTCCCTGAATTATGGCTTCTCACTGACCTGATGGGTTACTCCCTAATTGTACCTGGTCCCAGAACTGCTTTGTTCTACTCAAGCAAATTAAGCAGTGCTTACTCCCTAACAGCCTTGGCTGGCGCCATCATGCCAGTGTTCAGCAGTATTTCACTAGATGCCTTTAAGCACACCCTGCTCCCTGTTCCTTCCCACAGTGGTATTCAATAAATACTGGATGTGTTTGGAGGCCTTTGTCTTTGTTACCATCAGAAGCATTGAGCAGGTCCCAAGATCCAGCCTCATCACTGAAGTCCTGCTTCCTGTCTGTTCTTTAATTCACATTATGCTGTGGTGGCGCACAGGCCAGAAACCCTGCAGAGGTCCTGGTAATGTCCCCTTCCTTTTCCCTATGGATGGCATCTTTCTTATATTCTTGGTTTCCACCAAACCAGAAATAACTTAATAATGCAGTGTGGAGCACTGGGATTTTTTTCAGCCAGACCTCTCCAGCCCAGAATTGCCTGCTTCTGACCATGTACTTTGGGGTGTCCCATTGCTCCAGAGCCTGCAGAGCAGTGTAAGCTCAAAGTTAAGTTTTCATCCTCTTCAAGCAGGATGAAGGGGCTACCAGAGTCTCAGAGAAACACACTGAGCTCCGTGCAGATGAGCACCTCATCCCGAAAGGATCTGGCCATCCCCAGATTTCCCGACCCCAAAGGGCTCCCCAGATCATGCCCTCCTCTAGACCAAAGAGGACCAAAAAGAGGACTTCAAGACTGATCCCCAAAGACTTTACCTCTTTCTTCTCCCTCCATTTTTGCTAGTTTTCTTAATCCACTCTGCACATCTCAGAAGCTATCAGGAGCCCCAAAGAAAGAAGAAAGTGCCGTCAAGTATCATTAAGCCCTTTCCAGATGAATTCCTAAGAGAAAATCTCAACTTTCCATGTTCTCAACCTGAAAGATCCCAGCAGGAGAGAGCATGGAGCCCCACAAGATTCCTGGTCACTGAGAGCACTGGAGCTCCAGTTGGCTGCAGGACCACAACCAGTTGAGCTGCTGAGAAGCCAGCTACCTTTCCTCCCCCAGGATCTTACTCTCTACCACATAGCAGAGGGCTGCACCTTGATGCTGCAGCCTGGGGAAGGCTGTGGTAGGAAGGAGCTGGGAGCTTCTGGTAGACAGTCCCTTCCAAACTGGCTCTTCCAAGGAGTAGCTGTGAGCTCACAAAAAAACTATTAGGCCTCTCCCCTGCCTAGGGCCATGGCTCCCTGGGGGTAGAATCCCTGTCTTCATAGCTCAGTGAGTGGCCTCAGTCATCATCACCCACCCAGGAGTCATTTTTACAGCAGAAATGTTCCTCCAGTGATAACTCCCCTCATTCTTCCTTCATACTGGGTCTCCTTAGAAACTCACCCTGATTTTCTGCCTTTCCCACCCATCCTGCTCACTCAAAGTGAAGGTTAAGCTTCATTGTGTCAACTTCATTAGCTTGGCAGCAGCCTAGGAATTTAGTGGGGTGCTGTTCTGGGTGTGTCTGGGTAGGTCATGGAGATGTGACTTTGGTCCCCTGCCCTTCCTCTTTGACACTGCCTCTCTACTCTGCATTCTGGCTGCAATGAATTAAGCAGCTTTGCTCCACTGTGCCCTTCCACCCATGATGTTCTTGCCTTGGAGCCAGCAAACCACGGGTTGAATACCCTCAAAGCCCTGAACCAAATTAAACCTCTCCTCCTTTTAATTGTGGATGTTGGGTACTGGGTCTCTGAGACAGAAAAGCTAACTACTGCATTCGCCCTCCATCCCATCCCCACCCCTTCCACAACCACCAGAACAACAGCCCTTGGCTTCCATTAAACCCCCAAGCTATTTCAGCATGTTCTTCCTAAGTTTATTCATACACACCTTCCCATGAAGGTCCTTTTGCCCTTTCAGGATCTTAAGCTCTGCCTCTTTCCGGGAACAGTAGCCACTGGTCAGAAATATTAGGCAAAAGATTTCAGTGCTTCGTAGAAAAACAGCTTCCACTGCGCTGCCCAGGTCTTCTAAGCTCTCAGAACATAGCCATGAGCAACAGCTCTTGGACACCAGCACCATGCTTCAGTTTCCATTCTTCACTCCTAGGGATCAAGGCTCTCTCTCTACCTGTCAGTTCCTGAGGATCAAAGGGAACTCCAGTACCTGGGACCCAACCATGCACTGTGGGTCCTTGGGATACTTGCTGGGAGACATGTGCTGTAGATGACTGTGGCCAGTCCTAACTCATCTCCTCTTGTAGGGAGCATGGTAGAGCAAGGCCTGGCCAAAAAGAGGACTATCTTCCTTCCCACCCATTCACCAGAGAAACATCAAGCATTATCTTATCTGCTGCAGACCCTAGCCATTCTCCCTGTTCCAATCAGGCATCCCCTCTCAGTTTCCTTATCTATGCTATAAATAAAGGTGCTGAGGATGCAAACCAAGCTTTTAGTCTCATCAGGACAGTTTCTACCCGGCCTCAGTTATATTAACTTTACTGTCATCTTTGTCTTTTTTGTCTTATTCTTTTAAGTTTCTTAATCTCTCACCATCGTTTCTCACTCCATGAACCCTTCAGCCACACAGGCTGTGGCAGTTGGCACCCAATGTGGGGCATGTGGCGTAGGAGAACAAGAAAAAAGAAGAGAAAGCCAGACAAAATAAAAAGGATAAAGGGTGAGAGATGCCTCCAACTGAGAGCATGCACATGAGTAAGTTTGGGAGGAGGCAGATTGGAATAACACCAGGTGTGAAATATGAGGCAAACAGGATTCCGTGAGCAACAGTTACATACAGAGATGCTGGTGGAACTGTCAAAAGCTAAAGGGTCGGATATTATGAGGTCCAAATTAGCAAAGCTTTTAAATTTCTCTAAACATATTCTTGGGGCAGAGGACTTAGCTCAGTGGTGCCGTGCCTGCCTTGCAGGTGGCAGGGTCCTGAGCTTGACCTCTGGTTCTGCAAAAGGAGAGAGACAGGCAGACAGACAGACAGACATGTCTTTCATTTCCCAATCCCAAAACCAAGGAACAGGAAAAAAAATCAGTGCTCTTAAATCACAAGGGACTGCTCAGGAATGTGAGGGCTGACTCACCCAGTCTGGAGCCTCCTACTCCACCTGGGGAGTTTGCTGCCTTTTGCCGTGGTAGCTTCCTTTTATCCCCAGTTGTTACTGATCAAAATGACAATAAAGATTAATTTTGATTGTAATATATATTGCTGTCTACATTCTATAACTCAAAAATATTCAAACACAGTGGATAAGCCGGGAAGACAAATTTTTTAATATGAAGATAAGAGACTTAAAAATTCTCAAAATAGCCATCTAGTGCATGGACCTGTACCCAAGACCTCATGCATACCAGTGGATGAGAGCTCTGAAGATGACTCTTTAGCCAAGTTTTCCAACAAACCTGGTCCTGATGAATACTGGCCTACATCAGATGAGGATGACTATAATTTTGATGACAGGAATGTCCCAAAAATAAACTTAAGTAACTACAGGCTTCTGCTCAGCAATCCAGGAGAAATCAAGCAAAATAATGGCATTGGGGAACCAAGAAATAGAACTTTGCTTGACAGTATTTCTGATAGTGAAAACAGATGTGGTTGAAACCCTCCCTAAAACATAAACATCCAAAAGATTTCTGTCTTCCTTTTTATCACCATTGCCTGACCCAGAAGAAGCAGCAGCAGAGTCAGCAATTAGAAAACAAGAAAATGGTGCTTAGGTTATTAGAAACGCTTCACAAGAGCAAATCCTTTCCAATGATAGGCTGATTAACATGAATGTGAATGTAGTACCTCGGTATGGTGATTCTACAATTGCTACAGCATTTAAACTGGGCAATGAGATAGTTAACTCATTGTACCTTGATGCAAGCGAGTTAAAGACTACACCTGACTGGCCAGTCCTCTGCTCACCTATTGCAGTGTTCTGGTATACAGGGAAAAACATGAGGGGCAAATTGTTAAAGGTAGCTCATTACTGTAAGGCAATTTCATGTGGACCTGGTTCTTCTCCAACCCTTAGGTGGGTGACTCATGCAATGTTCAGCCTTCCTGAGATCAAACATTTGACCTTGCTTTTTTTTTTCCTCATTGAGTTTATTGGTACTTTTTAAGTATACAGTAGTTACATTCATCATTGGGATCTTGTACCTTTACATGACAAGTCTCGGTTCTCATTTTTTTCCCTTACCCCTGCCCTCCCTTCACCCCCTCCTCCCCTTCCTTATTTACAAAAACTTTATTTCCATGTTTTTGTTTTCTCGTATTTTTTCTTTTCCCTTATTTCCTTTCCCCTGCCCTTCCCACTTCCCCTATACCTTTAGCCCTTTTCTTCCTATTTCACTTTGTCAATTATACCATTTGGACCTTATTTACATTTATAGTTTTTCACACCAGAGAAACTATTTGGTGTCTATACATGTGTGACTTGTTTTTGCACTTAAAGAGTATGGCCTCAATATGGATCCATTTTCCTATGAATGACTCTAATGTCTCACTTTTTATGGCTGAGTAGCATTCCATTTTATAGAAAAACCACATCTTCTTTACCCAGTCTCCAACAGATGGGCAACTGGGCTGTTTCCAAGTTTTAGCTATTACAAACTGTGCTGCTATAAACATGAGTGCGCATCTACAACTGTGGTATGATTCTTTTAATTCTTTTGGAAAGATACCCAGCAGAGAGATGTCTGCTATCAAGAAATCAATCAATAACAAATGTTGGTGGGGTTGTGGGGAGAAAGGAACCCTTCTCCATTGTTGGTGGGAGTGTACACTGGTGCAATCACTGTGGAAATCAATATGGAGATACCCCAAAGAACTAGGAGTAGAGGTTCCATTTGACCTTGCTTTTAAACTTGTGTTTTTCCCTACATCCCAATTCTGGGACTATACTTATAGTTGCTAAGCTACTACATGTTGGCTTTGAGTCAGTGGACCAAGCATTCAACCAAGCTAACAAGGAAGTAAAGACTTGATGCACCAGAAGGGGAGAGCTTGACACCCCTGAAACCTGACTCTTGGATTGGCGTGCTTAAATTGCTCACTCTTCCAAACCAAAACATTTCAGAACCATAATCCTTACCCATCTCTCCCTGCTAGTCTACATCCACACACCTGAGCTTGCTGCTCAAGGCTTACATAGCTCTTTATCATAATACAGTGATTGTGTTGTCTGCTGACACAATCAGGACCAGGACTCATTTTTCACATCAGTCATGTCATTAGAGTTGCTGTGCACACCCATGCAGACCCCCGTCCACTCACAGCAGTTAGAGTGAGTGACCTTTGCAGTGCCAGAGCAGCTGGCCTGTGCCAAGAGCTACCACTGTCCACCCTGGGAGCTGCTATGCACTATCATTCCAAAGGTTCCATCCACTGTGGTCCTGCAGAGGACTTCCTGGGCGGAGGTCCCTGTGGGTCAAGATGTGCTTTGACTCTTTGGAAGGGGAAGCAGCAGGTAGACCTAGATGGCTTTGCATGTACTCCTGCAGACAGTCTCAAGCTGTGTCCCTGTGTATGCTCAAGGTCCCGAGAGATATTGGGAAAGGTGGTGGCCTTGGCTGAGACAGTCGTAGATGCAGTCCAACACTATTCTATGTTAGTATTGCAAGCAAGAACTGGTCTCACTATGAAAAGGTTTTTGTCTCAAGTCCCAAGGTTCTGTGCTCAAGTTAACCAGCCTCACAGCTATCTAGAAATTATCTGCACCTCTTTCCAGATCTGCAGAAGGAAGGCCTGGATCTATACTTGTGTTCCTAAGGGGAGCAAGGGATATGGAGTCAAGTTGTGGAGATCTAGCTATCCCATCAAGGCAGTAAAGGTGGTACTGGATGTGTGCCTTTGACAGCCGGTCATATGCAACATCTATCACTGGATGAAACATTGCTAATTATTCAAGTTGCTTTCCATTCCCTGCCTTTTATAATTGAATAGAGTTGCCATTAGGACCTGGAAATGAATATGCTGTACAGAAGATTTACTAACAAAGGACACTTAACCAAGTCCTCCCCTCATATTGAATATTGACCGCTGAAATGGCCAACTGGCAATTTATCAGGAAGCAATCTGCCATACCGTTTTGGTGCAATGTTTAACAAAATATATTTTAACAAGGTTGAGGGCTGCCTGTTTCTACAGTAAGATGAGTGTTTCTGAGTCGAGCCAGGCGCAACCATACTTGTAGTGTTATGAGTCAAGTTGACAAGCTCAGAACCACAATTACAAGCTGCACATTGAGAGTTCTGGAGACAAGCAATCTTCTCCCACGTGCTTGCCTTATTCTGAATTTCTAAACCTAGTGCTTAAAAGGACTAGCGAGGAAGGGCCGTCGTGGCTCCAAAACTTTCAGAATCATCGCCACTTAGGAGGAGCTACCAAATGACACACTAGCAACAATCATGTAAACAAAAACTGCCTTGTTACTATCAAGGTTTCAGAGCATCTATCACGGCTGATAATGAAGAGGCTGAGATGGCTTTTATCAGCATTCTACACATCTCCTCTGTGACTTCTCTCCTGGTCCCTGTCCAGTGCTGGCTAAATTGCTCACCAACTGTCACAGGGAGGAACCAGGCCAGTTAATTAGGCATACTGGTATTGTGACAAGGCTAAGAGAATGTGGGCAAGCATCAGAAATTTTGGGAAGAGATGTCCATCAGACTTTTGCCCCACGCTCCACCCAAAAAAAAAACTGCCTCTTCCAACTGCTTTAGTCTGGCTTCCACCCTACCCTACCTCCCTGCTTTCCTGAAACTGCTCTGGCAAAGGACTGGCCAAATCCACCCAATGATTTTCATCTCCTCTTCACTGCTCTCTGTGATACACTGTATTCAGGGAACCTAACTCACACTAACTTAGCACCTACTGATACCATAATGCTGGAGTCAGAGTGCAAGACAATTTATTTTAAAGATATAAGGACAAGAAAGTAAAATGTAAAAGACAGAAAGTAAAATTTACAAAGGCAAAAAAGCAGAGTTCCCACTAGCCAGAAGGGAGTCCTGGGCAGGAAAACCAAGAAGTTGTTTAGGGCTTTTTAAGGGGTTTGAAGGGAGCTTGGGCCACTGTGCAACTGGCATGGTCTCTACTGCACAGGAGGCTACATAGTATCCAGGCTCTAACCTCTGCAGTTCTCGGGAGGGCCCATGTGCCCTCCTGCCAATGGCCTGCTTGATGGTGCTACAGGGAGGTCCCTGACAACATCAGGACACCTGGCATATGTTTTTGAGAGATCCCTGAAGGGTAGTGAGTCCATTTTGTGTCTCTCAACTTCATCTGGGAGCCACTGTCCCTACTGTCTAATAGAATCCTAACTCCTGTCTCGCTGATTTCTGTCTATTATGAGTCTGCCATATTGCTTGGCACCTTAGAGACACGTCGACCCTCAGACTTGGCCATGACCCTCTAGGAACTTGTTCGCAGGCAGGTGAAGAGGAGACAGTGGTCCCGGGGCACCTAGGAGACAGCTCTCCTTTTATACAGTAAGCACCACGTTCCTATATTCTCTTCTCCACTCTCCTCTGCCTGCCCCTTAACCATCTCTCTGGGATCCTCTCCCCTGCCCTGGTCCACCTCATCAGCAATGGTAGGGAAACCCATGAATGCCAAAGACCAACAGCCCTGTGTGGCCAGGAGCAACCAACACTCCACCATCCAGCTCCACGGGGCAGGTGTCATTCTGACCCCACATCCCAACTCTGTTCCTTTCTTGGGTGGTGGCGCCTCCCAGGACCACATGCACCTGCACCTCCTCCTTGCCACTGCAGAGGCCTCCTCTCCCACTCTTGACCTCCCTTAGTTAGATCTGTCCCCCGTAGACCTGGGCCAACAGGCTCCATCTGAATTTCCCATCCAACTCTCTTGCTGCCCAGCTGCCGCTCACTGGAGTTGTCAGGATAAAAATCCAGGGTGAAACAGGCCCTTATCCCCACCTGCCTCATTCTCTCTGCTGCAAACATCCCCTTCCTCATCTGTTTTCTCCCATCTCTCTCCCCCTGCTGCAAGGTCACACCCTGTGCCTTCACCCAAGCCATAGTCCCTACCAGCCCCTGAGTTCTCTGCACCCTTGGATAATTTGTTCCTTCAGTGGGATTCTGCTCAGGTTGTTAGGCAGAAAGTTAGACATTAGTGGACCTGAAGACAGGCTGTGTGGGCTTGAAAAGCGAGGGAGATGGAATCGTTTTTTTCTCTTTTCCTTTATTTAAGCATAAGCTATAAATAAAATCCAAACGAGCTTAGGTTTCAAACTTTCACCCAAGAGAATATTATCTCCTCTGAAGATGGTAAGGTGCATACATACAGAGTTCAGACCATGGGTGAGGAGTTTGGGAAAAATCTTAAGGTCTCCAAACAAACTAAATGGAAACATTCCACCAAGGGAGTAAACAGGAAACATCTTCCCTTGGAAGTTGGTGGAGTCAGCCCATTTTCCTTGAAAAAGAACAATATAAAAAAAAAAAGAGAGAAAAAGAAAAAGAACAATATCCCCCAAAAGGGGGAAAGGGTGTCTCTGAAAGAACCAGTTAATCGTGTAAAGACTGCAGTGGTACTGGAACTTTGGTGCTTGACCACCTTCACAGTTGAAGATGTTGAAGGTGTGGTTCTCTCTCTGCAAATCTACTGCTGTAATAAACCCTACCTATATGCTATACAAAGGCCTTGTTTCTTGTCTGAAATCTTTGGTCAAGACACAAAAAACAAGCAGCAAGCAACACCACTTGTCGACAGTGTCAGGACCCAGTTTCCCAGCTGCCTGCTCTAGAGCCCTCTCAGGAACACAGCCTTGGGCACACAGCCTCCTCTGTGACGCTGACCTGCTCACAGCAGAGCTCAGTCAATCTGAAGTGACTACTGCGCTTGAGCTTTTCTTCCCAGCCAACCCACAGCCCTTTGGGGACGGCCACTTTGAACCATCACTGTAGACTCTGCTCTTAGCACATAGCCGGGCCAAATGTAGGCTCTTCAGGAGATGACCCAATGGTGTCACCACGAGAGGAGGAGGCCAGTAGAAAGCGGGCTCCAGGGCAGAGCTTTTACTGCGGTCTGAAAGCCATTAAAAATGGCCCCAAGGAACACCATTTATAACAGGACCTAGACTCCCCAGAAAAGGACTCCAAATGGAAGAGCCTGGTCCTGTACATCCCTTTGCCTGCAGGCCGATCCCACCTAGTGAGGAAACCCAGGCGGGGCACCACTCCCCTTCCCAGGGCTCGCACGGGAGCTGAAGGGAGAGTACACGAGAACTGTAGGTCCTGGACCCCATTCCAAAGGGGCTTCAACCATAAGCTTCAAATCTGATCTCCAAATGAAGTCTGTGTGGCCACTGTGTTTTTATGGGTACATTTTAAGCATCTTTGTCCATCTTTAAAGTGCTCTCTCAGGTCTTGATAAAGAGTAGATGGCATCACAGAGATTTCTGAGGCAGAAGCCACCTCTCCTCCAGCCCCTCCAGCCCCAGCCCCACACAAAATGGTGAGTCCCTGCTGCAAGGCAGTGCCAGGGCTGAGGGAGGCCCAGAGCCCGCAGAAAGGCTTATTAAATCCAGCGCTGGGGTCCCATACAAGCCCTGCCCCATCTCTGCAAGCAGCTGTACCCAGCTGCCTTCTGGAAAGGACCTGAGGCACGGCAAAGAATGGGCAGATGGGGAGAGGAGAAGGACGGGACACAGGACAAGTACCCAGCCACAGTCAGCCCCTGCTGGGCCCACTGAGGCTTCCACACTAACCAAGCCGGGAGAGTCCTGGCAAGTGATAAGGCAGTGGCCCTGTGGCCGCACATCAACTGCAACTGCCCCACACCCAGGGACAGAACTGAAATAGTAAACTGGGTGTTTCCAGTGGACTAGCTGCTTGGTCCCCCTGGAAGGGACTGGAGCCCTGTTGTAGGGACCTGTGAGTCCACACGAAGGCACCAACTGCTGAGAATTTCGAGAAAATTCCAAAGGCAGTTGGAAGCAACTGTCAGGCAGTAAAGCCCCTGCACAGCAGTGTGCAGCCCCCGGGCGCGAGCTGATGGGAGGAAGGCAGAGACAGAGATCCCATCCGCCAGACAGCAAGACAGAGACACAAACACGGGAAGGGAGAGGAGAGGATGACCCCAGAGGCAAATCCTGCCAACCTAGGTGTCAGTTGGGGAGGGGCTTTGCCCTCAACAGCTCTCTCTTACCCTGCTCTCTGTTACCCCCGGCTGCCTTCCTCTAGTGCTAAATTATAGGTTAATGCTAAAAATCAAGGTCGAATTCATGCCCAACCTGAAACTTCTTTTTACAGAAACAAATTAACAATGGCAGGTTCAGAGAAACTGGCCACCGAGCACACCAGCAAGGGGACTTGTAGAAGGGGTGTCTGTGCCCAGGCCCTCTGCTGGGTATCCTCTGGCTGTGCGTGCACTAACCGCACACTGAACCCAAAAGAGCCGGCTTGGGAACCTGTTTTGGATGCCCTCAGCATCCCAGAACTCCTTTGCAGTGCCCCAGGCTACAAGAAATAGCTGGTGTTTCCATTACCAGGAAGTAAGGCCCACATGACTTAACAGCATGGTGTCTCACAGAGGTCTCACCGCGGACACTTTGAAAATGTTACAGTATGCTCTGACACTCTTCTAAGAGGGCTGTGGCACCCTGGGCTGCCTCATCACAAAATTTTGGAACATAAACCACTGACAAGAAATCGTCAGAGTGAAGGCTTCAGTACAGACTCTCTTCTACCAGAGTTAGGGAAGCCAGCACCTATTTTCTTGAATTTTTACAAAACAAAATTTAGTATCTTAAAATCCCCTGTGTTATTAACAAGGCTCCAGAGTCCGTTGTTTTGTTTCCAGACAAATCTGTCTTCTCAGGAAGATCTTACCACCAGGAACAGTATGACAGTCGAAAGTCCTCCCTAAAAGTTAAAGGATCCCGAAAGAAACTTCCACCAGGGGCTCCAATATTTCTTACCTCCTCAGTGTACACAGAAGTTTGACCTGAACAATGCACCCCATTTTCATTGTGTACTGCAAATATGTTCAAAAAGGGAAGGAGATCCAAAAGGTGGGTGGAAGGGAGAGTGAGGAAAGGAAAGAAGATTTAAAAAGGAATTGAGATGTGTTATGTACATGTACCAACATCCCACCAGGAGTGTAACTATTATATACTACACGCATGTACTAATAAAAATATACCCCCCTTTTTTTGGTACCAGGGATCAAACTTGGGACCTTGCCCTTGTGAGGCAGGCAGCGGAAGCACTGAGCCAAATCCCTGGCCCTGTACCCCATTTTTATTAAAGCAATGAGGGTGGTGGCGTTCTGTTTCAGCTGGTTGCCTACGACCTCCTCCCAAGTATTGTTTTCCTCTATTGTCTCCACTTCTTGAGCTTTCTCTAGTGAGAAAGCATTGTAGAAGCCAACAGCCCAGGTCCGCATCCTTCTCAGGTCCTTCAGGTACAAGGCAAGGTTGCCTGCAAGTTGCGTGTTGGAAATAGTAAGGAAGTATGGGCATCACTTTTCCTTCCTCGTTGGGGATGAAGTGAGGTTCAAGTCTGGAAAGTAGCCTAGACCATCAACCCCAAACCCATACTGGTCTAGTTCTTCTTGGTGTATTGAACACCAGGGAGACGGAAGCCCTGGAAAAGGGTGGTAAGGACAAGAAGGGAACAAGGGAAGAGGGAGGGAAATGGAAAAGGCGCACTAATCAGTGCTGATGTAAAAGGGATTCAGGAAGAAGCAAAGAGCAATGAATCCCTGATCTAGGTTCAAAAGCTGGTATTTCTACTTATCTGAGAGCCCCCCACTTCAGTACTTGCTGCTTGCTTCCCACTCTCCAGGAACAGACACCTTTGAACAGCTCTATTCCTGGTGTCCACAGTGATCACTAAGCACAGATAATTCTGAAGTCTCTGCTAAAATCCCTCCTGACTAAATTAAACATGCAGTGTATTGGAGGCAGTGGTGCTCCAATTGGTGCCTGAAACTTGAAATCTTTTCCTTAGCCAAAGGTGCCATCACTCTGTGTAGCCTCCCCAGCACCCTGACTCTGTGATGCCCCAAGCCATGCGCCATACTGACAGAGGCTACCACTGCTGGGCACCGTTCATACTCTGCCTACTGTCCCTCAGCACTGGGGATACCGGCCTCTCCTCTTGACTTGTGGCACATTCCCATGTGCCTACTTATTAAAGTCTGCTCCCCTTTTCTCTCCAAAGCAGCTTGTAGCTAGCAAAGGCAACTGCGTTGACTGAGGAATCCAGCGGGTCCAGCCCCAGCCCCAACCCCTTGAGTTTTCCCGAACGGACTTCCCTTTTGGCCAGGAAGAAGGTCCCCAGCCCTGGCGCCTCCACCTCTTCCAGAGAATCCTAGACCTTGGCTTTTGAGCATGCACAATCCAGCCCTGTCTACCCCCAGATGTCCCAGATGGCCACGCACATCAGCTTAGAAATTCCTTTTCTCCAATCTCCTTCACCAGTGTCATGTCCTCCCTGGTCCCACTAGGCTTTTTTTTTTTTTCTTGCCACGCACATCAGCTTAGAAATTCCTTTTCTCCAATCTCCTTCACCAGTGTCATGTCCTCCCTGGTCCCACTAGGCTTTTTTTTTTTTTTTCCTCCAATCTGCACAATTCCAAGTCTCCAAAGTAATGAAGAGCCACAGTGTTTAGACAGCTAGAGGTACTTAGTCTCCAAAGGAGGATTCTTCAGACAGCCATGCCTGCCCGGGAACCAATAAGCTGGCTCCCTGATTCCCACAAAATGGACCCAGCTCCTCCAACTTGACTCACCCTCTAGGGGGAGACCTGGCTGTGCCAAGCAGTCGGTGTCTTGCCCAGACAGTGCCTTTCAAATTTTTTTGACCATAAAACCACAGTGAAAGGTAAAGTTAAGAAACTTTCATCACCACCCAGCACCAAAATTTACCTATACAACACAGGTAGAGCTATACATATAAATAGATCCACATAGAACTGAAAAAAGAAAAAGCATTCAACCCTTCTACAATGCTGGCTGTAAACCACTAAATTGATTTCACAACCCACTAATGGTTTGCAACCCGGAGTATGAAAAATTGCTGCAGGAGATGGATGACATTCAGGCTTGCGTTTCTGCAGCCTTTGATTCTCAGGGGATACTGAGAAAAGTTCCAGGCAGCCCCTCTCCTATTATTATCTTTGCTTTTGGTCCCCACCCAGGTCTGCCAGAGGTCAGGCTGGGCATGGGTGGCGTCCCTCCTCCTGTCTGTCTTCTCTGCATCTTTTTCCTAATACCCCCACCCATGCCTGAGCCGTGCACAAGATTGCAGTCCCTTGGCCCTCCTCACCTACCCACCAGGGAGCGGGACAGGACAGGGGCCCGCACATCTTCCTGCATCTTCTTTCCTCCGCTCTTCGTGGGACAGTGAGATCTCTCACAGTGTGGGCTCATGACACTCATCTGACCTGCAGACCAGTTGGTCTGGTCCCTCCCTGTGTCCTTAAGTCTGGCCTTGGTGCCTTCCTCACCATGACAGTGGTTTCTGGCCAAGCCGCTCAGGCCTGGGACACTGCTGGTGCTCCCAGAGTTCTTCCTCTCCCTCAGAACACAAGGAGCCGTCTCTCTCCTTCCCCCTCTCTCTGCTTCTCCCTGCTCATTTTCTCCCAGCCCAGCTTCCTCTGGTCCAAACACAACATTAGTGCCCCATGTGCAGCTCCGCGTCGCATGTCATGACTCCCTAGAGTCACAGGAGACTCTGAAACCCACAAGCCAGGGGTGAGGGCAACCTTCAGGGTCGTCGTTCAAAGCTGAGACTTCAAAGAACTGTAAAATACAACTCATGCCCACAAGGAATTTACAGTGTCTTTGGAAAGATGCCCAGATACAAGCAAGCATGCGAAGCAGTAGGAAGAAACAGACCTGTGTGAAACAGCCTTAAAGAATGCCAGGGTAAACCATGTTTACCATGTTTACGTGATGACACACATGTGTAACTCAGCACATAAGAGGCTGGGGCAGGAACTTCACAAGTTCAAGGCCAGCCCAAGGCACATAGTGAGAGGCTGAACCTCAACCAAACAGAAGGACTCAAGTTGGAATCCAAGAGAAATTGGATTCTCCCAATGCAGAGAGCATTCCAGAAGAACTAAGAAGAGCTGGGAAGGTGTGCTGAGTGCACAGAAAAATTTTCAGACATTTCAGGACAGGACCCAGAGGCTGGAGGTGGAGGGCCTTGGAGGGTCTGGTCCTTTGCACGGATCTTGACCTGGGGAGAACAGGGACCTGTTGAAGGCTTGGTGAACCGGCAAGGAACCGGTGCCAAGTGGGGCCAGCAGAGGGCGCACAGTTGGGGGTCATGGAAAGCAGGAAGGATGGCTCCTGGAGGCCCAGCCAGGAGCCAGAGCCCAAACACAGGGCTGGAGAGCAGGGTTCAGCCTGAATGGCTGACCAGTTGCACTGAGGTCAGAGGTGACAGGATGACATCGCTTCCAGAGGTGGAGAACACCACCAAGAGGGTTCATTTGTGCTTGCTGTCCTGGGGATGCACGGGGTTTTTGCGATAAGCTCTCCAACCTTCAACATTCCCTCCTTTTCTCCTGGCATCAAAGAATCTGTTCCTCAAATCTGAACATCATTCTTCCTGTGGGGAGATTCTCAACCCACTGCCCCACATGCCAGGTAGCCCAGGTGGGTGGCACACCTAGTCGCACTGGGGCAGGTAGGATTCCCAAGGTACCCAGCACCCCATCCTGAGTCCTCCAGGCCCTGAACTGACTTGCCCTTAGGACCAGCAGCTCCACTTCCTGTGGTCCAGGCCTTCATGCCTGGCCAGGAGATTGCAAAAGCCTCAGGGATCTCTGCAAAAACTGTTGTGGATGAGTGAGTTCCAACAATAGAGACAAGTCACACTCCTGAGCTGGCCTTCTCTCCCAGAGCCCCTTTGGAAGCAGCCCTTCC